TGTATCGCTTCGCGTCGGGCCGAACCACGCCCCTTAGCTGTGATATAATGAGCATATACCACGGCCTGTCGTGAGCTATTGCTTAAATATACATGCTTTTGCAGTGAGGTTCATGGCTGGCACTGGCTCTGACTCTTCAGGTTTACAAATATAGTATTTTGACCTAAATCAAAATATAATATTATTTTCAAAAGCTTTTTTTGTCTGATGCTTCGATTTAATTTTAAACGGACAGTTCAACAAAAGGATACCCAAAAAATTTAATTTTATCATTTACCTATTGAATTGTTCTCTCTTAGTAAGATCCCATTTTCAATAAAATGGTGGTCTTACCTTGACTTGAAGATGAAGTCCATTTGCCTATCCTTCTGGACAAACATCTCTATTACTTTTTTGTAAAAGTCCTCCTTATCTTCTTGTAGTTTCAAAAGTCTATCATAAACCTAATCGATAGATTTATGATTAGAAAATTATAAAAGTAGTGTAGACATGTGGATATTATCCGGCTGAACAAAACGTGCATTTATCTAACAGGTACGTTTCCCAGTGATCTTATTTTGAGCTATTTTCTAAAATCCTATGAAGAAATCTCATTGCTATTTGTGGAGGGAACCCATGCGCAGCTTACTTCCTGGTTTTGGGACGCGTCTCTCGTCTCCTCTTCACACACAACACTTTTCGCGGCACACGTACTTGCAGCCAATCAGCTCTGAATGATGTGAGATGACGTATGGTGGGAATGGCAGCTCTCTGCCCCTATGGTCGTTCTTTTTTTGCCACACACATTAAATAGGAAAATAATCTGAGCATGCGCAGTGTAGTTTTTACAGTCATCGTTCACTTAGACAGTGAGACGGAGGGGCATGATCGGGTTTTGTCCCACACGGCTCTAAACAGCTCAATAGGCACACACTGTAGACACTAATTAGAAGAACACAGACTAAGACAGGAATGTACAGACGAATCAAATGATTAAACATGATCTTAAAATATATTTTATATATTTATTTTTTTGTAATCATTATTTTTAATACTTTCTGCTGACACTAGGTGGGGCTGTGCCTGCCCCTAATGACCAGTCGCCACTGGGTACAACCCACTACCCCTGTGATGAAGGGTGTGTTAGTGTGAAGTTGTAGTCTTGTCTTACCTCATGCTTGCACTAACCCAGGTGTCTCTCCTCCTGCAGGTGTGGTTCGCACCGGGCTGTCCCGTCACTGCAGTCTGTGGCAGAAGGTGTTCATCGAGCTCATCGCCCGGCTGCTGTTCCTGGACCCGGAGGCCGGCGCTCAGACCACGCTGCACTGCTGCCTCCAGGAGGGCATCGAACCTCTGAGCGGGCGCTACTTTTCCTGCTGCGCCGTGCAGGAATCATGCCCGAAGGCCCGGGACGACGCCGTGGCCCAGAAACTGTGGGAGGTCAGCGAGAGGCTCTGTGGAATCTCTTAAAACACTTGCTGTAAATGGATTGTTAAGTCCAGGAGGGATCAAAGTAAAAAAACTGTTCACTCTGTCTTTGTTTTCCCGCCCTTTTGGTTTTCTTCCCGCCTTTTTGTGATTGTTTGCCCCGCCCTGATTCTACTTCCCCAGCTCTGTAATTTTTTTGTTATTAGTTCTGTGTGTACATACGCCTCTCTTTCCCAGAGTTTTTCTGGGCGTTGATGTTTACCGTGGTTCTACTCATCAATGTTTCATCGATGTTTCTATGTTTCCTTTCGGCTGTTTCCCCTCTGGACTCGCTGCCTGCCTGTTTTCCTCGTGCCATCCCATTTTGTGTCTTCTTTAGTTGTGCTGTTTATCTTTTGTTTAGTGTTACCTTGCCTGCTCTCTTAGTTTCTTGTTTACCTGTGTTTACTCTGTTATTCAAGTATTTTCTGTAAGACTTAAGTCAAATTGCCTGTACCCATGTCATGATATAAATTGGTTCAAAGTTTTGCTGTGTAGCATCTTTTATTTACAGTATTCCTCCCCTCTGGGAACACATGCTGTTATATATTGTCTGTTTATTGCACTCAGTAAATTGATCACGATCTGACTTATTTGCTGCTGGTTCACTTTAATATTAACTTATAAAGGGGAACTCATGAGTCTGTAGTACAGAATGTTGCCTTTATAGGGACCTTACTGGACAAGACATTTTTATCTCCTGTGGTATTCATCTATTATGCTAATGTAATATATTTCACACGGTAAAAAGAGTCTTTACATGTTTGGCTTAGAACCTATTTTGTTAATCATTAATGAATTGAGGTTCTTATTAATATGTTTTAATAATAAGGTTTGAAATCCAGGACTTAAAAATATTAAAATAAGTGACAAGAAGTTTTTGCCAGAAATTGCTTGTAAAAAAACAGACTAATTCAGTTCTGAATATTATTCACAAGAATTACAGTACAGTAAGAGATCCAACGTGTTTTAATGAATCTTAGTGTCTCAGGTTTTATCAGGAAAGTTAACAAAAGATTCCCCGTGACTGGTAACAATTATATCATCTGATTATTTATTGATAATGTAAAGGTGATCATGTGAGCAGGGAGCATGTGCTGCAGCCAGAAACTTACATTATTAAAACAATTATGAAATCACAAAAACATTTTTAACATTAACGTCAGATTTATTACCCCACATAGTACCTGCAGGCAGAGAGAGAAGGAAGGAGAGACTTGAATTCAATACTGAAGCGTTAACATCAGTGAACAAATTAAACAGTGAACATATCGCTGGTTCAGAGAAGCTGCTTGTTCACGGCGCCATCTGGTTCGTCTTCGGTCCTCTCTTCTTTAAAACCCTATCCATGCAAAGAGAACAAATGCATCAGTTAGCCAAAACCCAAAGTCTTGCTCTAAAGAACAAATGGAATATGTAAGATCACTGACATCATCCTGCTGTTAAAGAGACCTCTGATCTTATCTACAGTACTGACCTTTGACCTTGAGAATCACCATTCTCCTCCATATGACGTCTCCGTCCCTTTCGACGGTGCATGTGTATTTACCGCTGTCTTCATGACTGGGGTTAATCAGGGTCAGACTGAGATCTCCAGCTTGCAGGGGGTTTTCCCTCATCTTTGTGCGGCCTCTGTAAGAGTCGTGCTGCACCTCAGACATGTCTTGGCCATTCTGATACACATGGACTGTCGAGGAATTGTATAACTCGAAACGTTTCCATTTCACCGTTGCATCTGCAGGCAGCCGAGCTCTGGTTTTGAAGGGCAGTGTGACATATTTAGCCCAATCCCCGACCTCCACCACCTCCTGGGGGACTAAAAGGGAAAACAGACCCTCAATTACAAACAGCATCGTTGGTGATACCATCTGATTTCATATAATTTAAGTCCATTAAATGGATAAATGGCTAATGGCTATCAGTGGTTATTAATGTCCTAGATAAGGATGAGAATGGGCCGGTACAGAATGTGTGGTAGTGTATGTATGCAAGTAGGAATGTCTACTTAAAATGTAACCATGATAATCAACCTAATTTTTAACGCCTGGTTTTGGTGATAGATCTTAAACTGAAACCAAACAGAATTAAAACTCTTTGGGAATGGGAGACGAGGTGTATTATGTGGCAGTGCGGCCATTTTTGGAGGATATAGTCTATTAGGGATCGACCGATACGGCTTTTTCAAGGCCGATACCGATTATTAGTAATCAAGGAGACCTATAACCGATATTTGGAAACGATATACATTTGCAGTAAAATCAGAAAATCTTGATGTCAAAATGTAGAATAACACAACTTCTTTGAAATGCCTTTTTATATTTAATGAACTTTTCAACATCTTAAAACTGGTTTCCTCTCTGTGACCCTGAGTAAAGTAAATGAAGTAAAAATTAAATAAAAACTACTAAAACTTGTTCTGAACTTCTGATATTTGAGTCTCACTCATTTAGTAGTCCCAATTCAGCAGCACCAGATTGTGGTGCAGAAAGCAGAGTTGCTGCGAGGCTCCACTTGCAGCCATCACAGTCCCAGTCTTCCCAGTGCGTCACAGTTTCTCCGCTGCGAGACGCTAGAACCAAAGTTGTTTCAGCAATTTGATTTAAAAAAGGCCGATACCGATAATCTGTAAAATGCGGAATATCGGTCTCGATAATCGGCCAGGCCGATAATCGGTCAAGCCCTAGAGTCTAGCAAATGCAGCAGCAGTCCTTAATGAATAAACTACATGCGAAAGATAAATGTATTTACAAAGGGAAACTCTTCACTGAAGCAGAGGAGTATTACAGGTCAGTCAACAGGTTGCGATCAGTAGTATCCTTTAAAGATGGCCGGCTTGCTGTTGATGACGTTACATTCTCTATAACAGCAGCAGCGGCCTACACTCTCTGGTATCTAAAATACTGACCATTGACTCGGAGGTCTTTGGTTTTCAGTGGTTCTTCCTGCATCTTTGTGCGATCGCAATAAAACTCATCCTGTCTGACAAGATGGTTGTTACCGTTATAATATTTGTGGACCCTCATTGGCTCGAGGGCACAAGGACTCCACTCCACGGTGACGTCTTCAGGCAGAGGGGCCATGGATTTGTAAGGAAGTCTTTCAAAGCACACCCCCTCTTTCACCGCTGCAGAAGAGACTGAGAGGAAAACAAACAACAGCATCAGCAGCACGAACACACAAACTGTGATCTTAACAGGTCCTGTAACAACATA